GGTTTGGGCACGACACGCTGTCAGCGCGTGTGGCGGCGCGTGGGTAGCAGGGTTGGGACCACAGTCAGTCCTAGAATAATCTCCTAGTCCCCACGAGCACGTAGGATTCCGCGGATCTTAATTCGGATAACGTTTCAACCCCGAATGGATCTCGTCTAGTATGTGATTTCCGGGTTCAGTAGGTTTGAACCGTTGATCGTAGTCATGTTCAGGTATGTTGATCTAGGTAATTCCAGGATCGTATAATATTTGACGGATCATAAAACGGAGTCCCGGATACTCCAAGAATGCCAACCCTAGAACTTGGTTTACAGTAAACAGTTTAGTTACAGACCAGGAACCGAAGAAAGAACTACGTGTGGCTTGATCCCTCAGAAAGGGTACGTAGACAGCCTACAGTTATCAGGTGTAGCCACGAATCAGAGTCCCTCAGTTGTGCTTTTGTTTTCAAGGTATTTTGGTCTTTTACGACCTACAGTCACCAGGTGTCAGTTTTAAACTGGATTCGGCCCGGATTTCAAAGTGGAATTTGGGTCGGGTCGTTTCATGGCAAGTATTGGCTGCTGGAGTTGTTGGGAGCAGCTAAGAGAGGTGTGCTAGGGGAGGACGAAATTGCACTCTATAAATAGAGGGCTGCACACTCATTCGAAGATATAGAGAGTCAGATACACATTTTCACTTCACCCATTACTCTCATACACAAATTCAGATTCACCACAAAGAGAGAAGAGAGCTTGGAGCTGTCATGGGAATTCCTTGCTGCCATCATCTAGTTCTTGTCCTCTCTTTATTCTATCTATGTATTTATTATTTTCTGTATTCATAGTTATGTCTAACTAATCCATTTAGTTAGGGCTTAGGATGAAGCCCTAGTCATGAATATTCAATGTTATGGATGATTTTATAGTTAATTGATTTCCTTGCTTTCATTATCAAGTTGTTAATCTCCAGTTTATTATGTGCTTGATGTATGTTTTCTTAGAATAGCTAACTAGGATTTTATGCATCTAACACAGGTTGGAAAGGGGTTTAGATTCACCAATTCTACTCTTCTTTCACAAGCAACACATGAATGGCCTAAGAATCATTCAAGGGGTTAACAACCATAGGTTGACTAGGACAGATACCATGTTCTAGGACTTGTGTGATTATCATATTCTGAAGGAGCTTAATGACTCTTGTATGCTTTATTCTAAGTAGATACCATGCTTAGGTTGCATATTAGAGATCATGTGTTGTGTAGATACCATGCACAATTACATGCCTTAGGAGAATCATGTGTCCTGCACCTAGATACCATAGGCTTGTATACGATAATCTGTTGTTGATGAAGCTTGAGTCAATTTCTATGCATTCATAACTTGGATAGGAAAACTAGTGGTGGATTCTAAGGCTCTAACACCTCTCAATTATTGTTTTACAATCTGTCCAGTGTTTACTTTCAAGCACTTTCATTTCACTTTCTTCTTTTCATTTCAACAACCCATTTTGAGTGCGTGTGTGGTGCTAGGATTCTGTCCTAGACCTTGAGTAATTAGCAAGAGGCATTGTTGAATTCGAACTTGCCATTCTCCGTGGGATCGACCTCCTATTTACATAAGCTATACTATAAATGGTTCGTGCACTTGCGAGAATTAAAGTTGCTGTTTTTAATAACTCATTTAAGTTGTCAGGAATTGAATCAACAAGTTTTTGGCGCCGTTGTCGGGGAACCGGTAACGATGGTACTATAGTTAGATTACTTTGATTCTTTTTGTTTTTGTTTGTTTTTCTTTTAGTATTCAGTTTTTGTATTTAGTTGTTATCTTCATTGAAAGCACTAAATTGAGTTCCTTTGTATGTATGTCTGAATCTGACCAGGAGCAAAGTTCACCTGAGCCACTTTCACCAAGAACCGTTGCTGTACGTGCTGGTTTAAGGAGGAATTATAGTTCTTCAAGCGCTGATTCTAAAAGTTCCGAATCTGAAGGTTCAAGCACGATGACAGAGATTCCGAACAACAACAATAATGTTGAAGGAGGTGGTGCGCTTGTTGTCCAACCTCGTGAAGTTTCCATTCCCAAAGTCACCGATCAACCTTTGTGCATCGTCAATCCTCAACTCACAGTTGACAGGTTTGAACTTAAAAGTGGTATGATTCATCTTTTTCCAACTTATTATGGTAATACCACTGAGGATCCTTACATGCATATTAAGCAATTCTTTGAAATATGTGCTAGATCAAAATTCATGGCATTGATGATGAGGAGATTAAGATGAGGCTATTCCCATTCAGTTTAAAAGATAAGGCTAAGTCTTGGTTATACTCTTTGCCTAATGCTTCAATTCGTACTTGGGATGAGCTTTCTAATAAGTTTTTGCAGAAATTCTTTCCGGCTCAAAAGACTAACAAGATTAGAAAGGAAATCCTTGGTTTCACACAAAAGGAAGGAGAAGCTTTTCATGAATGTTGGGAGAGGTACAAGGAGATGATAAGTTCTTGCCCACACCACAACATAGAGAGTTGGATGCAAATGCAATCTTTCTATGAAGGTTTGCTTGATTCCGAAAGGATGATGGTAGATGCAACAAGTGGAGAAGGACTGATGAACAAAACAGCAGAGGAGGCTTTTACTCTCTTTGAATCCTTGAGTGCTAACTCTCAACAATGGAGCCACAATAAAGGAAGAGGAGCTCCTATGAAAGCTGTGGTCTCTGAGGTAAGTACTAATAATGAGATTGCTGCAAAACTTGATGTTATGTGTTCTTTGCTTCAACAGGCAATGACTGGCCCTTTAGGAAACAAAGTAGAAGTTCAAGATCAATCTTTTGCAGAGCACATGCTAGAACAAGCAAATGCCCTTCAAGCAAGGAATCCTAATAATGATCCTTACTCAAACATGTACAATCCGGGGTGGAGAAATCATCCTAATTTCAAGTGGAGCAATAACTCAAATGTGCAACAATCTCAAGGACCTCCCCCAAGATTTCAAATACATCAAAGGCAATTCGAACAAGCTCCCCAACAAGTGCAAGAGCAAAGGGGTGATCAAATGGGAGAATTGCAAGACATGTTCAAGAAGTTCATGGGGCAACAGATGCAAACCAATCAGAATCTTCAAAATGCAGTGAACAAACTAGAAGTGCAAGTTGGGCAGATTGCATCCTTCATGAGCAATAGGGCATCCAGAACATTTCTAAGCCAAACAGAGGTGAATCCATGACATTAAGAGCATGCTAAAGCAGTACACATCTTGAGAAGTGGTAAACAAGTTGATAACAAGGTTGGAGATGTCAACGAAGAGCAAGAAGATGGAGAAAACGTGGAGATCATTCAACCACCACATGGGCAGCCCACAGCTTCCAACAAATAGTCCCTCAATCCTTCTAGAAAGAGCACAAACCCTAAGGTATCATCTAATGCTAATCAAGTTCCAATTTCAACTAATGCTTTTAGCCTATAGATGGAGAAAACGTGGAGATCATTTAGCCACCACATGGGCAGCCTACAGCTTCCAACAAACAGTCTCTCAATCCTTCTGGAAAGAGCACAAACCATAAGGTATCATCTAATGCTAATCAAGTTCCAATTTCAGCTAATGCTTTTAGGCCTATTGCACCTTTTCCCAGCAGGTTATCAAAGTCAAAGAAAGATCAAGGCTTGGATGAGATAATGGAAACATTCAAGAATGTGCAAATCAACATCCCATTGCTCAATGCCATTGCTCAGATTCCAAAGTATGCAAAAATTTTGAAGGATCTATACACTAACAAGAGGAGATTCAAAGAGCATGAACAAGTTGCATTGAGTGAAGAGGTAAGTGCAGTGTTACAAAGAAAGCTACCTCTAAAGCTAAAGGATCCAGGTTCGTTTTCTATACCTTGCATAGTTGGTGATTTTAAGTTTGAAAAAGCTTTGCTTGATCTTGGTACTTCTATAAACCTTATGTCATATCATGTTTATGAGAAACTTAACCTTGGTGAGTTGAAGCCACATCTGTGAGCATTCAATTGGCAGATAGAACTATTAGGTACCCTAAGGGCATTCTAGAAGACGTTTTGGTAAAAGTGGAAGAGCTAATTTTACCAGCAGATTTCTTGGTGTTGGAAATGGAAGAAGCACTAATTCATGACAATCAGTTATCACTCATTCTAGGTCGGCCATTCATTGCAACTGACGGTGCTATTATTGATGTGAAGAAGGGTACATTGACCATAAACGTGTTTGATGAGACAATAGCATTCAAAGTGTTTGAAGCCTCCAAGTTTCCAAGTGATGAGCATGAAGTTTTCCAGCTTGATGCAATTGATACTATGGTGAAAGAAGCACTGCAAATGAGTTATTTGGAGCCCATTGAAGCATGCATCACACAAAGCATAAGGAAAGAAGAAGTGGACAGCTTAGAGGCTGTGATCTCTCCTTTACTTTTTGAGCTTGTTTGCAGCATGGATAGCTACATAGAAGTTGGAAAGAGGTATGCAAACCAATTTGAATCAATACCCCCACCTACTAATAAGGTTTTACCTTCTATTGTGCAGGCACCAGAGTTGGAATTAAAGCAATTGCCAAAACACCTTAAATATGCTTAGCTAGGTGAAAATGAGACTCTACCTGTCATCATTGCCTCACACCTCGAACCAAATGATGAGAAGAAGCTTTTGAGAGTTCTAAAAGAGCACAAAACTGCAATTGGGTGGAGCATTGCAGATATCAAAGGCATAAGTCCAACACTATGCATGCACAAGATATTATTGGAAGACAACGCAATGCCTAAGAGGGATGCCCAAAGACGTCTCAATCCAAACATGAAGGAGGTGGTAAGGAAAGAGGTAATGAAGCTTTTAGATGTTGGTATTATTTACCCTACATCTGATAGCAAATGGGTGAGCCCAGTGCAAGTTGTCCCCAAGAAGTCAGGTATCACAGTGGTGAAGAATGAAGCAAACGAGCTTGTACCTACACGGGTGACCACGGGCTGGAGAGTTTGCATTGATTATAGGAAGCTCAACACAGCAACAAGCAAAGATCACTTCCCTCTTCCATTCATTGATCAGATGCTTGAGAGATTGGCTGGCCATAGCCACTATTGCTTCCTTGATGGATATTCAGGCTACAACCAAATCGCCATAGCCCCAGAGGATCAAGAGAAGACGACCTTCACATGTCCCTTTGGCACTTTCGCTTATAGGAGGATGCCTTTTGGTCTCTGTAACGCCCCAGCCACTTTTCAAAGGTGCATGATGAGCATTTTCTCCGACATGGTAGAAAGGTTCATTGAGGTATTCATGGATGACTTCTCTGTCTTTGGTGATTCTTTTGATCAATGCTTGCATAACTTATCCAAGGTGTTAGCTAGATGTGAACAGACTAACCTTGTGCTTAATTGGGAAAAATGTCATTTTATGGTTAACCAAGGCATAGTTCTTGGTCATGTCATGTCTAGTAAAGGAATCGAGGTAGATAAAGCTAAAGATTGATTTGATTGATTTGTTAACTATTTGTGCACTAATGAACTCCCTAAGAGTTATCTACGTTCCAACGTGACAAGCTTAGGAAGCAAGCAAGATACTACTTTTGGGATGATCCATATCTATTCAAGCAATGCCCAGACCAAGTAATTCCCACGCATGCAGAGGCCATTTTGGAGCAAAGAAGACTGCCAGCAAAGTGCTACAATCAGGTTTCTTTTGGCCTACCATTTTTAAGGGTGCTTATATTTTTTGTGCTTCATGTGATAGATGCCAAAACTTGGGAACGTTATAATATCGTGGGAGGAGTCATTTGGTTGTTTTGAAGTGAAATGCAATGGCTAAAACTATGCAATACACCAATCACTCCATTTCAGAAAGAACTTCGTACGAACCTAAAATGTCCGATTTCATGGACCAATCGATATCGGATTGAGTCCAAAACCTGGGGAATAACATAATATGGTGGGAGGAGTCATTTGGTGGGTTTGGAGTGAAATTCAATCTCTAGAACTGTGCAATACACCACCAACTCCATTTCAGAACGAACTTCGTACGAACTTGAACTGTCCGATTTCATCGACCAATCGATATTGGATTGAGTCCAAAACTTGGGGAACATCATAATATGGTGGGAAGAGTCATTTGGTGGGTTTGGAGAGAAATCCAACAGCTAAAACTATGGAATCCACCAACCACTCCGTTTCAGAACGAACTTCGTACGAACCTGAATTGTCATATTTTAAGGCCCAATCGATATCGGATTGAGTCCAAAACTTAGGGAACATCATAATATGGTGGGAAGAGTCATTTGGTGGGTTTGGAGAGAAATCCAACAGCTAAAACTATGGAATACACCAACCACTCCGTTTCAGAACGAACTTCGTACGAACCTGAATTGTCATATTTTAAGGCCCAATCGATATCGGATTGAGTCCAAAACTTAGGGAACATTATAATATGGTGGGAGCAGTCAATTGGTGGGTTTTGAGTGAAATCCAATCACTAGAACGCTTCAATACACCAAGCACTCCATTTCAGAATGAACTTCGTACGAACTTCAATTGTCTGATTTCATGGACCAATCCATATCGGATAAAGTACAAAACTTGTGGAACATTATAATATGGTGGGAGGAGTCATTTGGTTGGTTTGGAGTGAAATCCAATGGCTAAAACAATGCAATACACCAACCACTCCATTTCAGAACGAACTTCGTACGAAACTGAATTGTCAGATTTCATTGACCAATCGAAATTGGATTAAGTCCAACACTTGGGGAACATCATAATATCGTGGGACGAGTCATTTGGTTGGTTTGGAAAGAAATCCAATGGCTAAAACTATGCCATACACCAACTACTCCATTTCAGAACGAACTTCGTACGAACCTGAATTGTCCGATTTCCTGGACCAATCGATATCGGATTGAGTCCAAAACTTGGGTAACATCAAAATATCGTGGGGAGAGTCATTTGGTTGGTTTGGAGTGAAATCCAACGGCTAAAACTATGCAATACACCAACCACTGCATTTCAGGACGAATTTTGTACGAACCTAAATTGTCCGATTTCTTGGACCAATCGAATTCGTATTGAGTCCAAAACTTGGGAAACCTTATAATATCGTGGGGGGTCTCATTTGGTTGGTTTGGAGTGAAATCGAATTCCTAAAATTACTCTATTCCAGGACGAACTACGCACGAACCTGAATTGTCTGATTTCTTGGACCAATCGATATCGGAATGAGTCCAAAACTTGGGGAATATCATAAAATCGTGGGAGGAGTCATTTGGTTGGTTTGGAGTGAAATCCAATGGCTAAAACTATGCAATACACCAACCACTCCGTTTCAGAACGAACTTCATACGAACTTGAATTGTCCGATTTCATGGACCAGTCGATATCGGATTGAGTCCAACACTTGGGGAACATCATAATATCGTGGGAGTATTCATTTTGTTGGTTTGGAGAGAAATCCAATGGAAACCATGCAATACTCCAACCACTCCATTTCGAAACGAACTTCGTACAAACCTGAATTGTCCATTTCTTGGACCAATCGAAATCGGATTGAGTCCATAACTTGGGGAACATCATAATATCGTGGGAGGAGTCATTTGGTTGATTTGGAGTGAAATCCAATGGCTAAAACTATGCAATACACCAACCACTCCATTTCAGAACGAACTTCGTATGAACTTCAATTGTCCGATTTCATGGATCAATCGATATCGGATTGAGTCCAAAACTTGGGGAACACCATAATATGGTGGGAGAAGTCATATGTCGGGTTTGGAGTGAAATCCAATCCCTAGAACTATGCAATGCACCCACCACTCCATTTCAGGACGAACTTCGTACGAACCTGAATTGTCCGATTTCATAGACCAATCAATATCGGATTGAGTCTAAAACTTGGGGAACATCATAATATCTTGGGAGGATTCATTTGGTTGGTTTAGAGTGAAATCCAATGGCTAAAACTGTGCAATTGACCAACCACTCCATTTGAGAACGAACTTCGTACGAACCTGAATTGTCCGATTTCATGAACCAATGGATATCGGATTGAGTCCAAAACTTGGGGAACATAATAATATGGTGGGGGAAGTCATTTGATAGGTTTGGAGTGAAATCCAACCCCTAGAACTATGCAATACACCACCCACTCCATTTCAAAACGAACTTCGTACGAACCTGACTTGTCCGAGTTCATGGACCTATCGATATCGGATTAGTCCAAAACTTGGGGAACATCATAATATCGTGGGTGGAGTCATTTGGTTGGTTTGGAGTGAAATCCAATGGCTAAAACTATGCAATACACGAACCACTCCATTTCATAAAGAATTTCGTACGAAACTAAATTGTCCGATTTCATGGACCAATTGATATCGAAATGAGTCGAAAACTTGGGGAACATCATAATATCGTGGGAGGAGTCATTTGGTTGGTTTGGAGTGAAATCCAATGGCTAAAACTATGCAATACACCAACCACTCCGTTTCAGAACAAACTTCATACGAACTTGAATTGTCCGATTTCATGGACCAATCGATATCGGATTGTGTCCAAAGCTTGGGGAACATCATAATATGGTGGGAGTAGTCATTTGGTTGATTTGGAGTGAAATCCAATGGCTAAAACTATGCAATACACCAACTACTCCATTTAAGAACGAACGTCGTACGAACCTGAGTGGTCCGATTTCAGGGACCAATCGATATCTTATTGAGTCCAAAAATTGGGGAACATCATAATATCGTGGGAGGAGTCATTTGGTTGGTTTAGGGTGAAATCCAATGGTGTTGTTAAAATGTTAACTCGCAATTGTACAGGCCAATTAGTTATGTAGTTAGATTACCAAATTCAAGAAAGTAGGAGGTAGTCTAAAATAGAAAGTGAGCAAATGTGGCAAAACGAAATTTCAAACAAAAGGAAAGTGAGCAAATGTAACAAAGAGTGTTTTTGTGGGCTAGAAAACAGATTGGGAGACTAGGGCATTCAATTCACCATAACAATTCAATTCTAGGTTATAAGGAGTCAAGTGACAAGTCTAATTTGGATTCAAAGATTGATTCTAGCTAATGTATGATTAGGCCATGGTGTCTGGTCCTAACCTTGTGTTTCTAATTCCCTAACTTGATCATTTATTGTGTAACCTAAATTAAGCATTAGGAACCCATTAGGCATAGAAAAACAATTTAAACAACCAAGCATGTATCTAATCCCTGTTATCGAATGTCCATACATACTTTTCTTATTCATAGTTCAATTCGAATCAAAGCATGGTGTCTACTCTTGATTCAAACCAAGATAGCTAATATACAAGTTCTAATGGTGATCAATCATCCAAACAAGCATATTAACTGATAAGCATAATAAATAAGAACATGAATCATGAATCAAACTTGAAACTCAAAACTTCAACTTATAAACCCAGAATATTCATGTTAGGTTACATCGAAGTCCTAGTTATGAATTTAGCTACTCATAATGGAAATGAAACTTAAACAGAAATGAGAAAACATAATGAATGTAATAAGAGTGGAAAAACCCATTTCTGAAGTTACTTGTGGTGTCCAAGGCTTCTCCAAGTGCTTCTCCACACCTAATGCTGCTCCAAGAGCTTCCTCACATCTAGAGTATGGCAACTAAAGAGGTGATTTGGGATGAGTGGTGATGGCAGAGAAGTAGGAAATTCGTAGGGAAATAGAAGGAAGGCTTGTTGGAGCTATTTTGGTGATTTAGGGCCGAATGGAGTGTTTTGGGGAAGGATGGGAGTGTTAGAGGATGGCTGAAGTAAATTTTAGGCGGAATGGAGTGACTCCCTTTGAATGAGTGCACATCTCTCTATTCATAGAGTGCAACCACTCCGTTTCATAACGAACTTCATACGAACTTGAATTGTCCGATTTCATGGACCAATCGATATCGGATTGAGTCCAACACTTGGGGAACATCATAATATCGTGGGAGTATTCATTTTGTTGGTTTAGAGAGAAATCCAATGGCTGAAACTATGGAATACAACAACCACTCCATTTCAGAACGAACTTCGTACGAACCTGAATTGTCCAATTTCATGGACAAATCGATATCGAATTGAGTCCAAAACTCGGGGAACATCATAATCTGGTGAGAGGAGTCATTTGGTTGATTTGGAGTGAAATCCAATGGCTAAAACTATGCAATACACCAACCACTCCATTTCATAACGAACTTCGTACGAACTTCAATTGTCCGATTTTATGGATCAATCGATATCGGATTGAGTCCAAAACTTGGGGAACATCATAATATGGTGGGAGAAGTCATATGTCGGGTTTGGAGTGAAATCCAATCCCTAGAACTGTGCAATGCACCACCCACTCCATTTCAGAACGAACTTCGTATGAACCTGACTTGTCCGATTTCATGGACCAATCGATATCGGATTAAGTCCAAACCTTGGGGAAAATCATAATATCGTGGGAGGATTCATTTGGTTGGTTCGGAGTGAAATCC